CCGCCCGCACCTGCGCGTGCAGACCCCGAGCCCCCACCTGCGCTGCCCAGACGCGCGCGTGCCGGGCGGGGGCGTCCCCGCTGTCTCTCTCGCCCGCTACCTTAACGTTAAAGTCGAGGGTTCCTCTACAAACATGCACGCGTCACCTTCTCCCCCGCAACTTATCTTTGTTTCATTTAAAGACCTTCGAGCTCCCCACTTGCAGCGGGCCCCACCCTGGGTGCCCGTGGGGAACGGCTTTGGGGAGCCAGGGCTGGGGGGCTGGGGTGAGCCCGGGCGCCCCCCCCCCCCGTGTTTCTGGGGGCGTCCCCCTGCTTGCGACGGTGCCTTGAACCCGCTGCACCGCTGTAGCCTGGCTGGACATCACAGCCACGGACATACTGCTACGGGGTGGAATTCTTGTCTGAGAACACGGCGTCCTGAATTTAACAGTGAATTTATTTGTACAACTTGGAAAAAGTAGGACGTGTAAACATGATCTTAATCCTTCCGACGGCACCATTTAAAATAGAGAGTTGTATTCCTGAAGGTGTAAAAATAGACTCCACATTTACGTGACTCTGTGAATCATAGCGCACTGTGAAGTATACATCCTCCTGGAGCATGCATCACTCGGTCAAGGTGCCACTGAAATAACAAGCGGCTGTCTTCGCAGCGGAGATCGCGGAGGAGTGCGCTCGGGTAGGAAGAAGCAGAGCGCCGTAACGAGGCCTAGAGGCAGAGCCTGCCGGGCCGCAGAGCTGAGGTCCGGGTATCTCATGCAGAAGCACGCAGCCTCCTAATCACGGCTGCCTCGGGACCCCCGTGTTTGGGGATTTCGGATGGTTTTGCTTCCTGAAGAAAAGTCATGCACTAATGGTTAATTTTTCTCCTCACTTTAAAAAACTTAGAGATAGCTCACTATATCAATTAGCACTTTTGACCAGCAAAATAACTATTTTCCTGCTGGAATATGTGATTGTAGCTGAAGCAAATAAAACTTACATGGTGCTCTGGGTGATTGTTTTCAGGTAAATGAATACATAATCCCATTAGACTTTGTAAAATACTTAAAACCCACCCCCACCCCCTTCTTCAAGGTACTCAAGAGGTGAGCATTCGGAAATCCTTGTTCTAGACGTTGTCGGGAGGAGATAGCAGGGCTGGGACTCAGATAAAAGTATCTGTCAGTTCAGGGAATAAAATTACTAAAAACTGGAGAATTTCCTCCGCATGTCCCAAAGTAGATGTTTATGTACCTGGATGTTCTGTGTACTTCAGTAATAAGAAAGCACAGAGCGGAACGTAGTGACATTCTGTATACTTCCCTCGTGTTTTTACAAGTACCGGTCACCACCTTCCCTTCGCTTCCCCTCTGTCCAGACATCTTAAATGTTCCAGCCACCCCCAGCGATAAGCCCCACCTGGGATGGAGGGATTAGGGGGAGTTGGTTCTGCCTCTTGACCACTCTATGGAGCCTGCAGTTTGAAATGGACGTTTTTCAGAGCAGCGACTGGATAGACACCCTGGGCAATTTCTTGCTAGATTTTACTTTGCTTCAGACACCCTGGTGCAAGTGCAAACAGTTAACTGTGGAGTTGTTTTTACTCTTGGCTTCGTTCACCGCGGATTGAGACCTTTCCCTTTTAGGTTGTCGGGTATAATTCCTGTATTCAGCTGGGGTTTTAAGACTTATTTTAATATATATGTTACTATGTTTCACTTATACTATTGGTTTATCTTGTGTGTTGAAAAGAAAGGTTTGTGTTAGTTTCTATTTCTTCTTAGTAGACATCTTTTTGGTCTATGTTTTGTATTATGAGTAACTACTTTGATGATAATGACACACAGCGTATTAACTATTGTTAAATTTTGTTTTGCTTTTTTGTAAAATAAAAAGCTTTAAGCTTCTGATAATTTTAGACGTACAAAGAGTTGCAAAGACAGTACTGGGAGTTCCTGGATACCTTTATCAGGCATGCCCTAATGCAAGCATCTCACACAGCCGCGGCACAAGGATCAAAATCAGAATTTAAGATTACTTCAGTAAATACTATTGATGGAACTGCAGACCATTTAGATTTCTCCAGTATTTCCACTTTATGTTTTGTTTTTCCACTTTATGTTGTTTTTTTTATTTTTGGTTTTTTTCCAGTACCGGGAATCGAACTCTGGACCTTGCGCTATGCCAGGCAGGCGCTGTGCCGCTGAGCTAAATCCCAAGCCCCTAATATTTTTGTTTCAGGATCTAACTCAGGATACTAACTGCCTCTGGCTGTCACTCCTCCTTTAGTCAGCTGTAGCTCCTGAAGGTTTATCTTTGTCTCTCATTACCTTGACACTATAGCAGAGTGGTTAAATCTTTTTAAAAACTTCTTCAATCTTAAAACTGTCTAATGTTCTCTCATGACTAGGTTGAAGTTATAGATTTGGGGTACATGACACCAGTTTTGAACATGGAAATGCAGATGTCACTGTAAGATAGTGACTTCATTTCCTTTGGGTATATGCCCAGAAGAGCGACTACTGAGTCATGCAGTTTGTTCTGTTTCTAATCTCTTTGGGAATTTCCATATTGTTTTCCACAATGGCTGATGCCAATCTCTATTTCCACCAACAATATACATAAAAATTCTCTTTTCTTCACACCCTTTCTTACATTCATTACCCTTTGACTTTCTGGTAGTAGTCATCCTAACAGGTGTGAAGTAGTATCTCATAGTGGTTTTATTTTCATTTCCCTGATGATTAATGACGTTGATCACCTTTTCATATGCCTTTTAGTGATTTTTATGTTTTCTTCAAAGAAATGTCTATGGATATCTAAGCCATTTTAAAATCAGGCTATTTGTTTCCTCACTATTTGAGTTGCATGAGTCTTTTATAAATTTTGATTATTACTCTCTACCAGAAATATAGTTTGCAAATATTGCTCCCAATTTGTAGGCTGACCCATTTCATATTGATTGCTTCCTTTGTTGTGCAGGAGCTTTTTTATTTTAAGTTTGATGTTATCCTATTTTTTTATTTTTGCTTTTGTGGCTTGAACTTTCAGTGTGATATCCAAAACATTATGCCATGGCCAATGACCAAGAGGTCTCTTACACTCTCTTTTAGGAATTTTACAGTTTCTGACCTTATATTTAGGTCTTTTATCCACGTTAAGCTGATTTTTGTGCATAGTGTAAGACAAGGACCCTATTTCATTCTTTTACATGTAGAAATCCAGTTTTCCCAGCACCACTTATTGAAGCTATCCTTTCCCCATGATCGCTTCCTGTTCCCCTGGTTGAAAATGAGTTGACCATGTATATTTGGATTTATTTTTGGCTCCCTATTCTATTTCACTGGTGTAGGTGTGTTTTTTATGCCAAGAAGATACTGTTTTGATTACTATAGTTTTGTTATATAAGTTTAAAGCAGAAAGTATAACCCTTCCAACTTTGTTTTCCTTTTTCATAATTTGGTTACTAAGGGTACTTTATGGTTCCACATGGATTTTAGAATTGTTTTCTTCCATTTCTATGAATAATGCTATTGGGATTTTGGAAGACATTGTGTTCAATCTGTAAATTGACTTGGTACATTTCAATAATATTAACTCTTTTGATCCATTATATATTATATCATCCCATTTATTTGTAGCTTCATTTCTTTTTTCAATATTTTTGAAGTTTTAATGTACAGATCTTTCACTTCTGATCAAATTTATTCCTAAGAATTTTATTTGATGCCATCATAAACGGGATATTTAAAAAATTTCTTTTTCAATTAGATCATTATTCATTAGCTGTGTATACAAGGTGACTGATTTTTGTGTTGATTTTGTACCCTGCAACTTTATTGCATTCATTTATTATTTCTAATGGGTTTTGTTTTTTGCATTACTGGAGACTGAGCCCAGGGTCCTCACACTGAGCTGCATGCCAGCCCCTTTTTTATTTTTCGTTTTGAGACAGGGGCTTGGTAAGTCACTAACTTGCCAAGGCTGAATTCAAACTTGCAGTCCCCTGCCTCAGCCTCCCAGAGTGCTGGGATTACAGATGTGCGCCACTACACCTGGCTTCTAACAGTTTTTTAAATGAAATTTTGGAGAATTCTAAAATAAATTTCTATGACCTGGAAATAATTTTAATTCTTCCTTTCCAATTTAGGTAGCTTGTCTTTTTCTTGTCTGCTTTTGGTAGCACTCCCAAAACTGTACTGAGTAGAGGTAGTGAGAGGGGGCATCCTTATGCTGGATTTAGTGGAAGAGCTTTAAGAACTCCCCCTCACAGTGTCACCTGTGAGGTTTTCATACACATGATTTTTAAATGTGGAGTAACTTTCCTCAGGTACCTAAACTATTGAGAGGTTTATTTAAAAAGGATGTTGGACTTTGTGAATGTATTTTGTGTCAGTTGAGATGTTCTTATGATTTATATCTTTCATTCTGTGAATGTGTTGTGTCACATTGATTGGTATATGTTAAACCAGCCTTGAATGCCAAAGATCAATCCAAATTGATCATGATGTATAATCTTTTTGATGTATTGTTAAATTCAGTTGTTAATATTTTATTGAGGACTTTTGCATCAATATTCACTGGAGAAATTGGCCTATGGTTTCCTTTTTTTGATACCTTTTTCTGATTTAGGTATCAGAGTGATGCAGGCCTCGTAACATGTACTTGGAAGTATTCCCTCCACCTCTAGTTTTGAAGGAGTTAGTGGTATTGGAAGTAATTCTCTGCATGTTCCTTAGAGTGCACCTGTGATGCCGTCTGGCTGTGGAGTTCTTTTATAGGGAAGTTTTTCTCTAATCTCTTTTTTGTCATTGATCTCTTACGCTTTCTATTTCTTCCTCACTCAGTCAAGTAAGTTGTATTTTTATAGGAATTTATTTTGGTTATGCAATTTGTTGGCACACAATTGTTTGTAATAGCCCCTTATGACTGTTTGCATGTATGAGGCATCTGTTGTAATCTCTTCATTTTCATTTTTTTATTTTGAGTTTTTTCTCCTTTTGTCTTAGACTAGTTAAGGGCTTGTCAATTTTTTGCTCAAAAATCAATTCTTAGTTTTATTGACTCTGTGGATTTTCTATTAGATTTCTGGTTTTTAGCTAATCTGAGATCTAGTTTATATTTTTTTCAGCTCCCTTGATGCATAATGTT